CATATAAATCTTGCATATTTCCTTTCCTGTCGTCTTAATCCAATTACACAGGCTAGACTCAGAATTTGCTAATAAAAGAGCATGACAGAGGAAGTCGGCTCCCTGTTTATTTTAATAGAAAAGTTTCCATTTCCTGTTAAGAATCATACTGACTTTGTGCATAGCTATTTGCCTAATATCCATTGCGAGACTTCAAAACTCTAGAATGAAAATCAAATGTTATTAAAAGCCTCCTAGAGGTGATAATACTTTTATTTTACCTATGATGAAGCAAATTTTCATAACACAATTTTGCAATAATAAATAATTTCACATTTCTAGGATAAACTCTGCCATTCTGCATTACTTTTTCAATTTGTTACTGGATTCTGGTTGTTATTTCCTTGGGTTAAGCTGTCAGCATCCAAAAGTGAAAAAGACAGCCAGAGGGTTTTGTTCAGTTTCTGTTAGATTTTGAAATCAGTGCTATATTTGTAATATAAACTGTGTTATAAGCTTGGTTGTTTCTGTGTGGTCAAAAGGAGTTACTCTGTATCACTGTTCTCTATCCTTATGGCTCTGGTAATTCCAGGTCAACTAGTTGAGCCTATTGTATTTTGAGAGGGTATACATCTTAGATTTTTCTTCCATTAATTTTTGTATGGTAATTAGGAAGGTAGCATATCTTTCTATCAAATTTAGCATTACATCTAGTTTTTTTCAATGTATTTCTTAAATGTGAACACCAAATGCCTTGTAAATCTTTTATTTCTGTAAATGCAGCTATTTATTATATTGTGATTCCTTGTTTTACATTTTAATTTCTTCCCTTTATTCTTAGTCAGGTCAGCTGAATTATCTCTCAATGTTTACCCAAAGACGGCAGCTGTTGGAATCACTACTTGTTATTTATTAATATTTGTTTATACTTTTGAGTTTTGCTTTCTTGGTTTGGTTTACTTTTACCTTTTTAACTTTGTAAATAAGATCATTTTAAACAGCCAGTTTTATATTTGATTCATTACCTGAATTTTTCCTTAGAAATGTCTGATGTTTTGTCTTTATTGCCACTGTTATTTTCTAGGTAGCAGTTCCAATGCCCTCTTCAGCTTAAAATTTCTTTTAAAGAGGCTTTAAATTTCTTTTCATGGGCTATTCTGTTAAATTTTGTTTTATGCATCTAATTTCTGCTGCCATAAGAATGCATTTGTGAGAATTATTTCTACTTTTTGCAATGTATTTTGTCAGCTCTTAGAGATGTTCCATATATACAAAAGGGTAAGTCCATCTCCAATTTCTGTGATAGAGGGGTGTGGGGTTGGTTTGTTTGTTTTGTTTTTGCCTTTGTTTTATTTTTTTAACTTGTTTCCTGCAATTGGACACAAGACCTTTCCCATGCTAAGCAAGCACTCTACCACTGACCTAGATCCCCAGGTTTCTTTTCACTTTTTATTTTAACACACTCTCCATAACGTGCCAAGGCGAGCCTTGAACTTTTAATGTTCCTACCTCTGTCTTCAGAACAGCTGGATTACATCCAGCACCACTAGCTGCATCTAAAAAGAGTATTTTAAACCCAGGCATGGGGGTGCACACCTCTAATCTCAGTGCTCAGAAGGTGGAGGAAGTGAAATAGGAAAACCAAGCTACAGAGTGAGCTGGAGGGCAGCCTGTGTTACACGACTGTCTTAACCCTCTAAATAACTATAATTAAGAACAAACAAATGAATGTTGTCTCATACACACATACACAGGCACATAGACATGCACATATAATTTAGGTCAATAATGTTATCTAGGTTTCTTTTCTTTGCTTATAATCTTCCATAAACAACTTCTTGTCTCCCTTGGTATTATTCCATTTTCTGTTTAATAACAGAGTATCTGATACCAAGTACTTTAGAAGGGAAGACATTCCTTCAGCTTACAGGTTTGGAGGGCAGCTGTCTAGGATCAGATGACACCATCTGTCCATTATCTGAGCATCCTTCCTACTGCATCACAACATGGCAAAGAAGCAGAAAGGGAAATAGCCATATTCAGAAGAGACCAAGTGATGCCTCACTGCCTAACAAGCCTTCTGTGGTACTTCCTATGAGTATGAAGACATACTCCTGTGAGAATCTCTTCCCATTGGCAGTGCTCTCAAGCTCTAAGTACCTTCCACTAGATCCTACTTCTTAAATATAAACCTCTCCATACCACAACATAGTGAAAATGCCTCTATTACCAAAAGTGACCTGCAGATTCGATGCATCCTTCATCAAGATTCCAATGGCATTGTTCACATAACTAGTAGAAAACAGTCTTAATATTCACATGAAGGTGCAAAAGTTCACAAATAGCCAAGGCTATCCTGAACACAAAGAGCAATGCTAGAGGCATCATAATGTCTGATTTCAATTTTTAATTTTAGCATGACATTAGTTTTATATATATATAGATATATAGATATAGATATATAGATATATAGATATAAATAGCGAATCTAGAAGTAATCCCACACCACTATAGCCACCTGATTTTTGACAAAGGTGTTGTCTTAGTATTCTATTGCTGTAAAGAGACACCATGACCATGACAACTCTTATAAAAAAAGAAAGCATTTAATTGGGGCATGCTTACAGTTCAGAGGTTTAGTCTATTGTCATCATGGTGGGAAGCACAGTGGTATACAGGCAGACATGGTGCTGGAGAGGTAGCCGAGAGTTCTACATCCAGATCCACAGGCATCAGGAAGAGAGAGACACTGGACCTGGCTTGGACATTTGAAACCCCAAAGCCCACCCCCAGTAACACAATTCCTCCAACAAGGCCACACCTCCTAATCCTGAGGACTGAATTCAAGTTGTCAAGCTAGGAAGCAAGCATCTTTACCTGCTGAGCTATTTCACCAGTCGGAAAAAAAAAAATGTAAAATGGATCAAAGATGTTAATGCAAAGCTTGAAAATCTAAAACTACCAGAGAAAAGCAAAAACAGAAGGAAAGATATCAAGACATAGATGTAAACAAGGACTTTCTGAAAAGGACTCCAGTTATAATGAAAATACTCACAAGAATTGATAGATACATAAAATTGTAAAGTTCCTTATAGCAAACAAAATAATTATCAGAGTGAAGAGAAAAATCTACAAAATGGGTTTTTTTTGGGGAGGGTCAACTATTCATCTAGTAGAGGATTCATATCCAGAATATATAAAGAACTCAAAATATTATATATAAATAAAACCAATCCAATTGAATCATTGGCAAATGAACAGTTAGCGCAAAGAAGTACAAGTTGATAATAAATACATAAAAATGATCAACATCATTAGTCGGTAGGGAAATGTAAGCAAGACTACATTGACATCCATTTCATTCCAGTGATACTGGCAAGAAAACAACAGAAATTACTAGCAAGAATCCAGGTAGAAAGGGAATCCTTAATCACTGTTTGGTAGAAATGTAAATAAGTAGCGATAATGCACAGATTGGTATGGAGGTTACTCCAAAACAGAGAATTGAGCTGGAGAAAAGATTTGGTGGAGAGCCATGGAGAAAGACACCTTCCATCAACTTTGAGTCTCCATAAGAACATGCATTTGGCATTCTTAATTGCCTATAGTTATTTATCTAGAATATTTTTAAATTTGGAACTAAATAAATATGTTTATATCTAAAATGATTAAATGTAAATTCTCCTATTCTTGAGTGTCTGAATAGAATTCATGGATTTCTCATAATAAGCCTCCCCATGTACAAACAAGATGCTTTTTCTACTTTACTCAAGCTTTTTACTCTCTAGAGTCTCTAATATTTATTCTATCGATCATAAATATTCCTATTTATTACTAAATATTATTATTAGCTATGTTCTAAATGGTACTTTTCTGCTATATCTCCTAAAAGATTATTATTCACATTTAGAAAGATGGCTTTTTGTGCTAATTTTATACTTAATGATCATGTGGAATTTCTGTCGCTTTTGATAACTTTCCAGTTGAATTCTTCACATTTCTTCTTTTATTCAATTGAATCAATTTGTACCTCTGGCACAGTGAACAGCAAATGACATAAATGATAGTGGATTTCCTTGTTTTGTTCATAATTCTAATGAGGGGTATAATTTAGGCCTCATAACAAGCAAATAAATAAATGTCATTTTAATGAGCTTTTACTGTGGTACTTTGGAGACCTGTGGTCAGGATGTGATAGACAAAGTATTGACAAACCACATCCATGAACCAAGGCCTGCTGCTGTTTTTATAAATAGGCCTAAGGGAACTCAGCCACACTTGTCTGCCTATGTACACTATGGCTGCTGTCACTAAGAATACCTACTGGTTGGTTCTTTACTGAAAATACTGACCATATCCAGTTCCAGAATGTACTTCAGGAACAACCATTCTAAAATAGCATGCCTAACGCATAAAACATTTCTTCTGTTGTTACTTATTTAACTTATGCTGGCAGTCACCTGTGCACTAATGGATATTGGGGTTTCTTAGACTAGACTGCTGGAATCTTAGCACCAGGAACAGGTGCTCTCTGAGAACTCAGCACTTCATGTCCCAGTGGCCAAAATGCATTATTATGTACCATGCTGGGAGCTATAAGGAAAGGGAAAATGAAAGAGGCTCTTGTCAAAACTCTTGAGAGTTCATATTTTAGTATGGAGAAAAGAGAGGAAGGAAAGGCATTCAGTCAGTTAAATCCTGCGAAGCTAAATCAAGTAGAACACGGTTCTGCGAGGAGGAAAAGCGCCATGTTTGAATTAGTTTTGAGAAGGATCCGCATTCAGAGCCTCCTACTCACAGGTATCTAAAGAGAGGGAGCACTTCCAGTAGAGAGGCAATAACAACCCTGAAGTTAGGTGATTCACCCCTAAGGTGAGAAGCAGAGGGAAAAAATCCAGGTTCCACTCTGAATTCTGTATTTCCAAAATCAGAGCTCTGTGCTTTCTTATTCTCTTTTAGCTAGCATGTTAGGGTAAAGAGGAGAGATCCCCGTAATGAATTAAGAAGTAAGATATGCTCACCTTAAAGGGGTACTTGCCATCTGCTCTGAGTGCAAATGATAAGACAAAGACATACAGATGCCAGGGGAAACCCAGTTCCCATGCCTCAGGAACGTATTGACTAGACTAGGTTGAGGTCCTCCCAGAGGCTTTGCAGTGGCCACTTCCTGATTCTTGGGTATTGTTCCTGGGTATTGAGCATGAGGGAGAGTAGTTCAGGGGCTTCCTATGAGTAGTACTGAGTGTACAATTTTAAATTTTCCCTTTTAATCAAACTTCTTCCTATGCCGTCCACAACCTTTTGACTCCTGACATTGATTTGAGGGAGAGAAGGGTGTCAACAGTAAAAGGGCCACCTCACTTTCTTCCACTGTTTCCGTCTGGCTTCTCCCCAGAGTGCTGTCCTGTCGGGCTTCAGAGTCACAGTGGCCCTGAGGCCACAATGAATAGCTGCAAAGAAGTTCCCACTGGACATCTGGCTTGAAAGTTTCAAGTCAAGAGACCCTGCAAGTCAGCAGGAGGGGACCCTGGGGTGGCCCTCTGCCAACTGGTACCTGGTACCCAAGAGCCAACTGAGATGTGATATGGACCCCTGTGGGTATCCAGGAGATGCCCACATGCTGGAATCCAGCCCACTCTGTGACATCATAATCTTCCCATCCACCAGTGCTGATCCTGAGGCCTGCCATGCTTGGATCTGCCCAGGTCTCCCTTCTCAGCAGGAGGTAGCCTATTACACCAGCACATTGTCTAGAACTCTTAGGCTCCCGATCTACCTCAAATCTCCTACACTTCCCTAAGCAATAGCTGCACATCACAGGGCTCAGTGCCTCCTTGAGGTCATCTTGTAGCCTAGACTGAAACTCATTCACTGACTAGCTCAGCCTATTCTCTGTGGTTCATTTCAATTCATATTCCTCTGCCTTCTAAGATTACTGACACTATCCCCAAAATTTTGAAGGTCTCCTCAATGCTAGCTGCCTATAGCCCTCAGTTCAACAACTTCAACCCCATCATATGCAAAGGGTTTGGTTTATCCTCAGGAACCCCAGATAAGGTCAAAAGCCAGGCCACTTCCTCTTCAATTAGCAGTACCCACTAGCTACAGGTGCATTACTTTGCTGCTAGTTCTCTGCTTGAGCAAAGGCAACTCCAGCCAAGTCTGCTGAACTAAGGGGCCGCCACTACCATGGACTGCTCTCTCTCTCTCTCTCTCTCTCTCTCTCTCTCTCTCTCTCTCTCTCTCT